CGGACTACCATATTGATCCTTTAATTTTCAGCGTCTTAAGAGTTGTAAAATGCTCTCAAACTACTGTAGGGATTGATCACAAGAGACTGGTCATGGGCTCAAAACTTATGTTTATCCGATTCTGCAATCCACCTATTGGGAGAAGTCATCTAAGGTTGACACAGAAGTCACTTTAAGGCTGCCACAGAAGTCACTTAAGACTGTCATATAAGTCACTTTAAGATTATCACAAAAGTCACTTTAAGGTTGACACAAAAGTCATTTCGAGGCTGAAACAGGAGTCACTTTAAGGCTGCCGCAGAAGTCACCAAAGGTTGTCGTATAAGTCACTTAAGGATGCCACAGAAGTCACCTAACGTTGTCACAAAAGTCACTCTAAGGCTAAAACAAAAGTCACTCTAAGGCCGACATAGAAGTCAACTAAGGCCGTCGTAGAAGTCACCTAAGGCTATCGTAGAAGTCACCTAAGACTGCCACGAAAGTCACTTAAGGCTACCACAGAAGTCATTTAAGGTTGTCACAAAAGTCACCTAAGGCTGCTACAGAAGTCACATAAAACTGCTACATTAAACTCATGACACAAAAGTCAACCAAAGTTGACACAGAAGTTACACAAAGTTTACACAAAAGTCACCAGCACTTGACACAGAAGTCACTTAAAATTGACACAGAATTCACCAACTCTTAAAACAATAGTCACCTAAAGTTGACACAAAAGTTTACAACTTTTAACACAAAAGTCACCAACTCTTGAAATAGAAGTCACCCAAATGTGGCACATAATTTACCCAAAGTTGGCACAGGAGTCACCAACTCTTGGAACCAAAGTCACTTAAAATTGATACAAAAATCACCCAAATGTGACACGAAAGTCGCCAAAAATTGGCACAGAAGTCACAAACACTTGGAAATAGAGTCACATTTGATGCAAAAGTCACCTAAAGTTGACACAAAAGCCACCCAATATTGGCACAGAAGTCACCAACTCATGCAAAGGTAGCACCTCAACCTCACCTCACCTCATTGTACTTAAGTTGGTCTATTGAACTATTGGACTATTGGTCCTATTATCTACTACTAACAGATGCAATAAATTACTTTCATGTTGTTGCAAAAATTGTTCACAAGCTTAAGAATTGTCGCTTCTTTAATTCTACTATCCACCCCCTCAAAGAAGAAATATCAACTAGCTGTAGAGATATGAAGTCTAGTACTTTTAAACTATTGCAAGGATAGATCATGGACTCGAAAATTGCTAGGTCCTTTGATTCTTCAATTCACCGCGTCACAAGATCCACTTACTGCAAGAAAGGAATCTGGTAGTGTAGACTACTTTCAAACTGCCGCAAGGATTGATTGTGGGCTCAAAAATTGTTGGGTCCTTTGATTCTTCAATCCGTCACATCACAAGGTCCACTTATAGCAAGAAAGGAATCTGGTGGTTTAGGCTATTTTCAATTAGCTGTAAGGATTGATCCTGGGCTCGAAAATTACTGGGTCCTTTGATTCTTCAATGCAACACGTCACGAGGTCTACTTACTGCACGNTGGTGGTTTAGGCTATTTTCAATTAGCTGTAAGGATTGATCCTGGGCTCGAAAATTGCTGGGTCCTTTGATTCTTCAATGCAACACGTCACGAGGTCTACTTACTGCATGNGATTCATCTCAAAATCAAAACCAGAGAATTGGTGTCTAATGCCCACTTCTAGGTCATCGACTCCAAAACATCTTATGAACTATTGTTTGGGACGACCTTGACTCTATGAGACAAGAGTTGTGTCATCAAAATTGCACCAATTCTTCAAATATTTCCATGATGGAGAAGTTAGGCGAGTCATTGCTGAGATTAAGCATTTCTCAATGGAAAAATCTCACTTTGCAGATGCCAAGCTCTACTGTAAGACAGAACTCATCTTAGAAGCCCTTCAATCATCATGCCAAAGACTAAACTATCAAGAAAAAGATAAGAACAACTCCCAAAAAATGACATCCAGCTTTTGAAGGAAGATATAATATTGCCTGTAACTCAATTGTCAAAACTGACAATCTCTGACTCACCTTTAAAGAGCTTTGTAAAATCTTTTGTAGTGGATAATATAATAGATCCTAAAGATGGTTGGTTTGATCCTTGTGTTAAAAAACTCTTCAAAAATATAGGATATGATAAAGGTGAACCGTGCCAGCTTGAAAAACTTGATTTAGTTCTGCCAACGAAGCTAGTTGACGAATCAATAGTAATGCAAAGAATGATAAATGNGTAAAATCTTTTGTAGTGGATAATATAATAGATCCTAAAGATGGTTGGTTTGATCCTTGTGTTAAAAAACTCTTCAAAAATATAGGAAGAGTTTGTAATATTCTCCTTTCCTAGTCTAAATCGAATGAATAAGGATATTCTCTTTTCCTAATTCCAATCAAACTAAAAAATGTCCTATCAAACCCCATCATGATTCAAATCTATGAGTGTAAAGATGAAAAAGTCACACAACCTCGTGCTTTCGTTTTTGTTCGACTTGGTAAACAAGATGGTTGAGAAACAGTGTTTGATTGACTGAGTAGGGAAACTCCTTCTTTAGATTCTCCACAAAAGGCTTTTGTATTTACACGGACCAGAGAATTGGGTTACCAAAGTGAACTAAGTTCTCTTAAGAAAGTCAAGAAACGAAGGAGGCGACGTAGACATCATGCTTCAAAGTTTGTAGAAATAATTGAGGATGTTGATGATAATATCCAAATTTTCCTTTCTAATCAGCAACAAACCTCGAGAAATAACAAAAAATAGAAAAAGGTGCATAATGCAGACATGAAGGAAGAAGGCATTTTTGTGAACTATATCACCATTAATCAAATAACAGAAGAATCACAATCACAAGTATCATCTTCAACAAATGAATTCAAACCAGCATAATCTACACTTCAAGAGAGGGGGAAAACTTCCATGTACAAGATAGCTGACAAAGAAAGCTTGAAGATCGACTCGATCAATGGGAAATTTCTAAAACGATTCAACACTTGAAAGAAAGTATTGCTCATTTATGCACTGGCCTAAATTTCACGTTACTTCTAACTCGCATGAGTTAAAATATACATGACTCAACCTACAAAAAAAATAATAAATAAATAAAAACAAAAAAAATTGTTACTGTCCATGAGCTCATTGACACACGAGCCAAAACTGTATGTTGCTCATAGGCCGCATGAGTTAAAACTGTGTGCGACATAACCAAAAAAAAATGATTTTTGCTATTTGGTCTAATGAATCAAAACTATAATGGGTTCAGCCAAAAGGAAAAAAGAAGAAGAATTTTGAGTTTTCGGTGGAGCGTTATCAAACATCAAATTTCCCCACTTGCTAGTTGACAAAGGTCTTGCATTTGATCATAGCTAGGTGAAAGAGTAAATCACCTAGTCAATGAAGCACCAACGGACTACCATATTGATCCTTTAATTTTCAGCGTCTTAAGAGTTGTAAAATGCTCTCAAACTACTGTAGGGATTGATCACAAGAGACTGGTCATGGGCTCAAAACTTATGTTTATCCGATTCTGCAATCCACCTATTGGGAGAAGTCATCTAAGGTTGACACAGAAGTCACTTTAAGGCTGCCACAGAAGTCACTTAAGACTGTCATATAAGTCACTTTAAGATTATCACAAAAGTCACTTTAAGGTTGACACAAAAGTCATTTCGAGGCTGAAACAGGAGTCACTTTAAGGCTGCCGCAGAAGTCACCAAAGGTTGTCGTATAAGTCACTTAAGGATGCCACAGAAGTCACCTAACGTTGTCACAAAAGTCACTCTAAGGCTAAAACAAAAGTCACTCTAAGGCCGACATAGAAGTCAACTAAGGCCGTCGTAGAAGTCACCTAAGGCTATCGTAGAAGTCACCTAAGACTGCCACGAAAGTCACTTAAGGCTACCACAGAAGTCACTTAAAGCTGCTACAGAAGTCATTTAAGGTTGTCACAAAAGTCACCTAAGGCTGCTACAGAAGTCACATAAAACTGCCACATTAACTCATGACACAAAAGTCAACCAAAGTTGACACAGAAGTTACACAAAGTTTACACAAAAGTCACCAGCACTTGACACAGAAGTCACTTAAAATTGACACAGAATTCACCAACTCTTAAAACAATAGTCACCTAAAGTTGACACAAAAGTTTACAACTTTTAACACAAAAGTCACCAACTCTTGAAATAGAAGTCACCCAAATGTGGCACATGATTTACCCAAAGTTGGCACAGGAGTCACCAACTCTTGGAACCAAAGTCACTTAAAATTGATACAAAAATCACCCAAATGTGACACGAAAGTCGCCAAAAATTGGCACAGAAGTCACAAACACTTGGAAATAGAGTCACATTTGATGCAAAAGTCACCTAAAGTTGACACAAAAGCCACCCAATATTGGCACAGAAGTCACCAACTCATGCAAAGGTAGCACCTCAACCTCACCTCACCTCATTGTACTTAAGTTGGTCTATTGAACTATTGGACTATTGGTCCTATTATCTACTACTAACAGATGCAATAAATTACTTTCATGTTGTTGCAAAAATTGTTCACAAGCTTAAGAATTGTCGCTTCTTTAATTCTACTATCCACCCCCTCAAAGAAGAAATATCAACTAGCTGTAGAGATATGAAGTCTAGTACTTTTAAACTATTGCAAGGATTGATCATGGACTCGAAAATTGCTAGGTCCTTTGATTCTTCAATTCACCGCGTCACAAGATCCACTTACTGCAAGAAAGGAATCTGGTAGTGTAGACTACTTTCAAACTGCCGCAAGGATTGATTGTGGGCTCAAAAATTGTTGGGTCCTTTGATTCTTCAATCCGTCACATCACAAGGTCCACTTATAGCAAGAAAGGAATCTGGTGGTTTAGGCTATTTTCAATTAGCTGTAAGGATTGATCCTGGGCTCGAAAATTACTGGGTCCTTTGATTCTTCAATGCAACACGTCACGAGGTCTACTTACTGCACGAAAGGAATTTAGTGGTGTAGTTTACTTTCAAACTGCTGCAAAAGATTAATCATGTGCTCGAAAACTCTTGGGTCCTTCGATTCTTCAATCCACTCTGTCGCAAGGGCTATTGCATATAAGAATGAGAAATCTAGTGCTACCACTCTGTCGCAAGGGCTATTGCATATAAAAATGAGAAATCCAGTGCTACAAGTCATTTTCAAAGCTGCAATGATTGGCCATGAGCTCAAAATTCTTGAATCTTTCAATTCTTCAATCCACCCCATCACAAGGGTCACTGGCTGCAAGAATGAGAAGCTGTTGTAGGGCCCGGTCATGGGCCACCCCATCAAAAAGGGATATACACTAACTGTATGGACGTGAAGTCCAATTCTGCAGGCTTCCTTCATGCAAAGGTTGGTCACGGGCTCAAGAATTTCCTTTTCTTTAGTCTTCCTCGTCATAAGGGTCACTAGCTACAGAAATGTGAACCTCAGTGTTGCAAACTACTATAGCGATTGATACTAATCTAGGACCACTAGGTTTTTCGATTCTTCATTCCACACCATCATGAAGAGATTTCTACTTAATGTAAGAATATTACGTTCGATGTTTTAAGCTGCTTTCAAAACTACAACATGGACCAAAGTCTTTGTTTTGACTCTTCCGTTCTCAAGGTATGCTTGATCCTTGATCTAGATTTTGGATAAGAAATGATTTAAAAAATAAAGGTAATTAAACAACAAAAAAACATTATTAATAATACTATCATGTTTGTTCTCTTAATTTATGAGGACATTTAAAACTTTTAAATTTTTTTAAAAAAAAAGCGTNACTATCATGTTTGTTCTCTTAATTTATGAGGACATTTAAAACTTTTAAATTTTTTTTTAAAAAAAGCCTTACATGCGATCAAATTCTTAGAAAAACTTACATGAGATCAAATCAGTGTAAAAGTCACCCAAAATAAAATTTTGACTTTTATTCTTTGTACAAAAATCACTAAAAATAAAATTCTTGAGATAAAGTTAACCTACGGTAACATTCTTGATAACGTCTACATAATTAAAGTCTCTTTTAAAAAAAGAAAAATAAAAATAAAAAACAACAACATCAACATCAATAAATAAATAAAAAAGTCAAGGGCACACATAGACACCCAAACGATAACAGCAAAGAAAAAAAAAAGAAAAGGAAAAATGCCTTTAGATTGNCCAAAGTTGACACAGAAGTTACACAAAGTTTACACAAAAGTCACCAGCACTTGACACAGAAGTCACTTAAAATTGACACAGAATTCACCAACTCTTAAAACAATAGTCACCTAAAGTTGACACAAAAGTTTACAACTTTTAACACAAAAGTCACCAACTCTTGAAATAGAAGTCACCCAAATGTGGCACATGATTTACCCAAAGTTGGCACAGGAGTCACCAACTCTTGGAACCAAAGTCACTTAAAATTGATACAAAAATCACCCAAATGTGACACGAAAGTCGCCAAAAATTGGCACAGAAGTCACAAACACTTGGAAATAGAGTCACATTTGATGCAAAAGTCACCTAAAGTTGACACAAAAGCCACCCAATATTGGCACAGAAGTCACCAACTCATGCAAAGGTAGCACCTCAACCTCACCTCACCTCATTGTACTTAAGTTGGTCTATTGAACTATTGGACTATTGGTCCTATTATCTACTACTAACAGATGCAATAAATTACTTTCATGTTGTTGCAAAAATTGTTCACAAGCTTAAGAATTGTCGCTTCTTTAATTCTACTATCCACCCCCTCAAAGAAGAAATATCAACTAGCTGTAGAGATATGAAGTCTAGTACTTTTAAACTATTGCAAGGATTGATCATGGACTCGAAAATTGCTAGGTCCTTTGATTCTTCAATTCACCGCGTCACAAGATCCACTTACTGCAAGAAAGGAATCTGGTAGTGTAGACTACTTTCAAACTGCCGCAAGGATTGATTGTGGGCTCAAAAATTGTTGGGTCCTTTGATTCTTCAATCCGTCACATCACAAGGTCCACTTATAGCAAGAAAGGAATCTGGTGGTTTAGGCTATTTTCAATTAGCTGTAAGGATTGATCCTGGGCTCGAAAATTGCTGGGTCCTTTGATTCTTCAATGCAACACGTCACGAGGTCTACTTACTGCACGAAAGGAATTTAGTGGTGTAGTTTACTTTCAAACTGCTGCAAAAGATTAATCATGTGCTCGAAAACTCTTGGGTCCTTCGATTCTTCAATCCACTCTGTCGCAAGGGCTATTGCATATAAGAATGAGAAATCTAGTGCTACCACTCTGTCGCAAGGGCTATTGCATATAAAAATGAGAAATCCAGTGCTACAAGTCATTTTCAAAGCTGCAATGATTGGCCATGAGCTCAAAATTCTTGAATCTTTCAATTCTTCAATCCACCCCATCACAAGGGTCACTGGCTGCAAGAATGAGAAGCTGTTGTAGGGCCCGGTCATGGGCCACCCCATCAAAAAGGGATATACACTAACTGTATGGACGTGAAGTCCAATTCTGCAGGCTTCCTTCATGCAAAGGTTGGTCACGGGCTCAAGAATTTCCTTTTCTTTAGTCTTCCTCGTCATAAGGGTCACTAGCTACAGAAATGTGAACCTCAGTGTTGCAAACTACTATAGCGATCGATACTAATCTAGGACCACTAGGTTTTTCGATTCTTCATTCCACACCATCATGAAGAGATTTCTACTTAATGTAAGAATATTACGTTCGATGTTTTAAGCTGCTTTCAAAACTACAACATGGACCAAAGTCTTTGTTTTGACTCTTCCGTTCTCAAGGTATGCTTGATCCTTGATCTAGATTTTGGATAAGAAATGATTTAAAAAATAAAGGTAATTAAACAACAAAAAAACATTATTAATAATACTATCATGTTTGTTCTCTTAATTTATGAGGACATTTAAAACTTTTAAATTTTTTTTTAAAAAAAGCCTTACATGCGATCAAATTCTTAGAAAAACTTACATGAGATCAAATCAGTGTAAAAGTCACCCAAAATAAAATTTTGACTTTTATTCTTTGTACAAAAATCACTAAAAATAAAATTCTTGAGATAAAGTTAACCTACGGTAACATTCTTGATAACGTCTACATAATTAAAGTCTCTTTTAAAAAAAGAAAAATAAAAATAAAAAACAACAACATCAACATCAATAAATAAATAAAAAAGTCAAGGGCACACATAGACACCCAAACGATAACAGCAAAGAAAAAAAAAAGAAAAGGAAAAATGCCTTTAGATTGGGTTGTGTATGGCTGAAGGGTCATAGCTATTAAAGGTGCATGGTCAAAAAAAAAAGGGTAAAAAAATTTAAAAGATTAATATGTTTGAATAATAATCTATATCTATACTACTTATAAATATCAACATGTGTCAAAAAATTTTGATTTCCTAGTTCACCATTAATTATTACCATAAAACCAATTATACCCACATATTTTTTTGTCTTTCATACCTACTTCATTTTCAAAATATTAGCTAAATAAATTTTATCTCTATGACAATACATTCTTTCTTTTTCCATTCAATTGTACAAACTCTATTAAAATTCTAATACCACATATTGGTTATTTTTAGGTGATACATATACATATATTTTTTTGTCTTTCCTATTTATTATACTTCTTCTTCCATTCATGTTAGGGTTAGAAGTTGGTCTACCATAGTCATTTATTTGAAGTCCTATGATCTCATACTCTTCAATGAAGTCGAAGTTGGAGTTTTCGGCATAATTGAGGTTATTTTATTAACTCCTCTGTTTTAGTTTATTAATTTTTATGTTTACGTTAATTTATATGTTCTGTGATACTTAATTTTTCTTATTTTAATGTCAAGCAGCTTTCTAATAGATTGGTGTGACAAGTCAAGTATTGAGCATAATAATTGAGGTTAGTTTATGAATTCTTATATTTTAGTTTATTAAATTGGTGTGGTAGATCGAGTATTCGGCATAATTGAAGTTAGTTTATTAATTCTTATGTTTACGTTAAAATTTTTTATGTTAATGTTTCTTTTTTTTTACTGCAACCTTTTGTGAATCCAATTTTTCATTTCTCATATAGCTAATATTTTGAAAGTTTGTTCAAATCTTCTATAATATTGAACTAATTATTCTTAATTTTTGAATTGATGGTAAATTACAACATTTATTGAGACCAACAATCAATCCAATAATAAATAAATTAAATCCAACATTTTTTTGGGTATTTTTATATGTACCATGTTTTTGAGTAATTTTATCATTTATTGACTGAAATTTATCAAATTTTGAGGGTTAAAAGATTAAGTGTCTATTTTCTTGGTATTTTAATTATTCACTTACTTTTACAAAAAATAATTCAATTTTATTACTCATCAACTTTGTATTGTAAATAAATTTAATAACAAATTAATAATTGTAAATAAATTTAATAACAAATTAATAAACTAATTTTTTTTTTTACGTGTGTGTGCATTGCTAGTAGTTTTAAAAGGGGNGCTGAAGGGTCATAGCTATTAAAGGTGCATGGTAAAAAAAAAAAGGGTAAAAAAATTTAAAAGATTAATATGTTTGAATAATAATCTATATCTATACTACTTATAAATATCAACATGTGTAAAAAAAATTTGATTTCCTAGTTCACCATTAATTATTACCATAAAACCAATTATACCCACATATTTTTTTGTCTTTCATACTTACTTTATTTTCAAAATATTAGCTAAATAAATTTTATATCTATGACAATACATTCTTTCTTTTCCATTCAATTGTACAAACTCTATTAAAATTCTAATACCACATATTGGTTATTTTTAAGTGATACATATACATATATTTTTTTGTTTTTCCTATTTATTATACTTCTTCTTCCATTCATGTTGGGGTTAGAAGTTGGTCTACCATAATTATTTATTTGAAGTCCTATGATCTCATACTCTTCTGTGACAAACTNTCTTCGAAACCATGTGAATGATTTCTTTTCTATGATTATAAGGAATTAAAAAAAAAAAACTATGATTATAGTCAAGAAGATGACCAAAAAAAAACCAATTAACTTCGAAATCATGTGCATCATTTGCTATGAAATTGTCACATAGACAAAGCCAAAGTAGAAACCCCCAAAAAAAATATAATAATAATAATAATAACAGCAACAACAAAAAAAAATAGTCATACTTGATAGACTTGAAGTCCTTCCCGTCACCACCAAACTTCTCCGGTGTTTTCAATAGCATTGTTAATCTCAATATATAAGCACTCTACCTCATTTGTAGGTAAGTTAAAGAGGAACTTGTTCCTTCAATTATAGATGAACTAAAAGTCTATATTTTAGACCCATTTGTTTGAATAATACAATGACTTAATATGTTGACTCAAAGATGGATTAGAATTCCATATTATCAAAAAGATTAAGAAAAAATAGACAAATTAAACTCTTTGTCTTTGTTTATTATACGGATTAAAATTTTATACATATAAAACTTGAGAACTATTAAATCTACAAACAATATAAAATATAATGAGATATCTACCACACTAAAGCACCTTGGCCTGATAGATTTTATACCCAAGTCTTCATCTTAATTGAACTTGGTTGGAATTCCTAATAAACAGTAAATAATTTTGGGATCAAAGTTTATTTGGACTAAAATTCTATTATAAAAAATAATAAATAAATTGAATTCTATATCTTATTTAGAGTTCAACGTGAACTATAAGTCCATGTTGATCATGGAACAA